TGGTTCTCGGGTCCCCACCGTTCAAGACTAGGTCTCCGGCGCCTGGGCCCGAGTCGGCCGAGCCTAGGACCCCAGTGCCCACGCTCGAGTTCGTTGAGGTTAGGCCCAAAGCACTGGTGCTTGTGCCTGATGTCCAAGCACGGGTCTTCGATGCTTGGGCTTGAGTCCTTAGTCAATGAAACATTCGTTTCTTATAAAAATGTATATTTTTTAAATAATCAAATTTTTAATTATTTTTCTTTTCTTTTCTTTCATTTTCTTTTTCCTTCTTCCTCGGCCGATGGCCGACCACGACGAAGGTTGGTGATAAGCCACAGGCGAGGGACGAGCTTGCCCAAGGTTGGCAAGGCTTGAGCTCACTAGATTCCTACGAGATCGAGCTCACTCAAGGCTGACGCCAACCTCTAGCTAGCTTGAAGCTCGCCTAAGGCCGGCAAGCTCAAGGCCTCGCTAGAGGTCAACGAGTTTCAACGAGCTCGACTTCACCGGTTTGTGGCGAGGCTCGTCCCTCGCCTATGGTTGGTCTCTAGCCGCCACCATGGCCAGTGACCAACCGAAGAAGAAGAAAAAGAATAAAAGAATAAAAATTAAAAATTCGATTTTTTATAAATAAAATAAAAGAGGGAAAAAGAAAAAGAAAAATAAAAAAAATATTAAAAGGAATGCACCGAGAAAAATCAAATCAGATTTTCCATACTAAAAGGCAAGTCATTTTCAAGTTTCAGCCAAACACCAAAAAATATATTTATTTTTTAGACTTCCTGAAATTTCTTTTCCAGAAATATTGTATTTTTTGCAAAACAAATGGAGCATATTATCTTTGCTTCCTGCTTGCTAATTAGGGCGCGAATGATGAGTTACGTGAAAATCCGTCCAAAAAAAATAGGTTGTGTGAAAAAAGGAATCGCATCGTGGGCATTTCCGGAAGTTCGCAAGCGGCGTCCTCGCTGTCTTTCGAAGCACGGACACAGAACCAAAGAGTCCTCGCCATTGGCCGGTCCGAAATTGCGAAAACACCAACGGAAAAAGCTCAAAACAGGAGCGCTCCGAAAACACAAAACCCAAAGATCCCCAAATCCGTTCCCTGTTCCTCTCTCGATCGGAAAACCACAGTTTCCCCCAAATCCAAAACCCTAATTCTCCCCCGCGTCTCCTCTTCGATCTCAGCCTCTCTCCATGGCTTCCCGCAGGCGCATGCTCCTCAAGGTCATAATCCTCGGCGACAGCGGGTAAGCCTCCTTTGCCTTCGCGCGATCCCGATCAATGCCTGAGCAAAACGGAGCGATGTCGAATTGTGAGTTGCGTTTTATTTTTTTTTTTGGTACTGGTGCTCACGCTGATCATCCCGCTTTTGTTCCGTGGCGCTTTGTTTAGGGTCGGGAAGACGTCTCTCATGAATCAGTAACTCTCCCTCGGACCTGGACGGTGATTTTGTTTTCGTGGGTTTGGGTTGTTTTTCGGGGGACTTGACTGTGGTTGTTTGTTTTGGATTCGCGGGGCAGGTACGTCAACCGCAAGTTCAGTAACCAGTACAAGGCGACCATTGGAGCTGATTTCTTGACGAAGGAAGTTCAGTTTGAAGATCGATTGTTCACATTGCAGGTTAGTTGATGTATTTGCTGTGATTTGCTGGTAGGATCAATTCTGGCCTCTTTGATGAGAACTGTATTGGGCTGTTTATATATGTTAGTAATTAATCTTCAAACTGAAGTTTTGACAGTTTCGTGTATTAATCATGGGGTTAGATTGACCATGCCCTCGAGGAAATAATGCTTTTTGAAGAACTCTCGAGGAAATGTAGATTTTGAGTTGTAAAAGAATGTGCTAAGACTTTCACTTGCCCCTCGCAATCTGTTTTAGGGGACTTATCAGCATTCCCATCTTCCTTTTTCTGCTGTTTTCAGAAACAATGCATGCCCGCTAAGAAAATGAAGCATTTTTCTCTTTATTTCACGAAGTTTTAATGCTGTTAAGTGTTATTGCGATTGGCGGTTTGGTGGATAAAGCATGAGAATTAGAGCGTTGAACATGACTAATGTTGAACCATGGAATCATACTTAGTTTCGGGTACTTTGAGAAGCTGGTGTTAATGGTAGACGTGCTCTTTTTGATGTCTGCAGATATGGGATACAGCTGGGCAAGAGAGGTTCCAGAGTCTGGGTGTGGCTTTTTACCGAGGTGCAGACTGCTGTGTCCTTGTTTATGATGTGAATGTCATGAAATCATTTGATAATCTTAACAACTGGAGGGAGGAGTTTCTACTTCAGGTGATATGATTTATGTTTACGAAGAAATTTCTTTGATTTTATTGCTATTGAAGCTGTGACTCAGTACGATTTTTTATTTCAATTGATGTACAGGCCAGCCCATCAGACCCTGAAAACTTTCCATTTGTCGTGTTGGGGAACAAGATAGATGTTGATGGTGGTAACAGTCGTGTGGTAAGATTCTCGCAGGAATCTAATTTGAAGGGATTATCTGCTGATTCGCTGATGTGCAGCTTTTGTGTGCTTCGTTTTTGACTTGAAAATTCTCGTTGTAGGTTTCTGAAAAGAAAGCAAAGGCTTGGTGTGCTTCTAAGGGAAACATTCCTTATTTCGAGACATCTGCAAAAGAAGGATTCAATGTGGAAGCTGCATTTGAGTGTATAGCTAAAAATGCTTTGAAGAATGAACCTGAAGAAGAAATGTAAGTATTCTTTCACATGTCGAGTCATCTATGACTGTCTTAAGCATTATTGGGGTGATCATAGTTAAATGCCAAACAAACATTTCCAAAGATAAATGAAGTTCTTGTAAAGCGTAACAATATCATGCGGAGCAATTTATATAAAATAAATTATGCATAGCAATGTAAGAAAAAATGTTAGCTTAACCTAGAGAAATTTGAACTCTTTGCATCTGATATCGGAAATGGTACTGTGTGTCAGCAAAGCAAAGTTGCATCGGCGATAAAATATAAGTGGAGTTAACTTTATCATGAAATGCCTTTTCATTTTTTTGGATGCTGGCATTATGGAAATTTAGCTGTCAAAATAGTTCTTCAGCTTCCACAGAAGTGATTAAAAGTAGATGTTTTAAATGCACTCTGGGGTCAAAGAATGTTTAATATCGCTTGTTATCGTTATTAAGTGAGAGGATATTGTAGTATGCGTGTAGGACTGAATGCGCATACATGATACTCTTACGACTCTAGTAAATCTTCAGATGTTTCTGTTCATTTGATTAACTCTACTTACTACTCTTCTTTTTTTTTTTTGTTTTAAAACTTTTTTGGCTTTTAGTTTAAGCTTCAGATATTTCTCCGCGTAATATTATCTCGTGAAATTGTTGTAACATCTTCTTATGTATTTTCAAAGATACCTTCCCGACACCATTGACGTCACCGCTGGAGGACGGCAGCAGAGATCTACTGGCTGTGAATGTTGAAGAGAGTTAATCGGATACTCTTTCCCGTGGAATGGGAATACAGTGGAAATGAAATATCGTGATTAATTGCTCGATAACTGTTACGTAAGAGACTAATGTAGGCGAGTTGATCAAACTCTCATCGTGTATCATTAGTAGATCAAGGAAGACTGTTTCGTGGTCCTGTCGGTTCCCTCTTCTAATGTTAGTAGTTTACGAGTTTAATTTGTTTGGACATGTTGGTTATGAGTTTGCTTTGAAGTATGTTATGGATACATGCTGCTTGAAACGGAAGTAGGATCTCCAATCTCTTCCGGGAAGTAGGTTGCGGCGGGTAGCCGATGCAGACTTGTGCAGCATTCGTAAGTAATAAGACCTTAAGAATGGACACAGTGTGCGTTTGGTTGCAACGGGAACGTATTAAGAATGGACACTATGCGTTTGCTTTAAGGCAGGTGTTTGGGCCAGCCCTAAAATGTAATCACTTTTAGGTTCTCTCTTTAGTTTTACCTCCTCGATGACAGCTGAAGTCACTTGACCATAACCTTTTCAATCCGGTGACAAACTCTCTTTAAACCATTTGTTATGATCATTTGAATTTTATTTAACTTTTATTATCACGGATCGCCTTATTCGACTTTTGTGAATTATATTATTTAATATTGGTTTTATTTCAGTACAGCAAAAAGTGGGTGGAGTAATTTCAGGGAAATTGAAAATGAAGATGAACGAAAAATAGAGAATTTTGAGAGTTGGGTAATTGAGGATTGTTATTGTACTCTTTGTTTGTCTCATGGAAAAAATTATATTTAAACTTTTACTGCTGTTCTTCAAATTTTTAATCGGTACAACAAAGTCTTTAAATATGTGGACTTTTTGCAATAAGTCCCGTGATCTTTGATTCTGGCAAATTGAAGGCGTTTGTTAATAGCCAAAGTAAAGTTAGAGAAAACGGTGCCACAATTCACAATCAACTTGTACTTGATTATTTCGACGTCAGGTTCGATCAGTAAAGATTGATGCATTCGCTTTACTTGATTGGAACTAGATCAGTCAAATGGATTGATCAAGTTGAAAATGGTCCGATCTAAATCGATTCATTTTCATGCAATATAAATCTAGCGATCCATACCGGATCTCGACCTCGACCTATATTACTAAACACTTCTATATTTAACCAAATTTAGGAAAATTCATATTCAAACTAAGGTGAAAGCACTGAGTGAGCGAGCAAGCGCGAGATTGAGAGAGAGTGAAGAGAGAGTCATAAAGGTGAGTTGAGTGTAAGTAAGTTGTGAACCCATTTAACACTCATATTAAATCTATTCTACCCATAGAGTTGGGTCTAAACCCATTCATGACCAATTTACTAGATAAAACTAACTCATATAACAACTCAGCCTATTAAATATAAGTTAAAAAATGGGCTTATGATCTATTTTGACAGGTCTAATTGGAACGGATTGCGCGGAGGGATTTGACTAGAGGAATTCTATAAAACGAAGGATCACAATTGTAGAATTTTGCAAATTAGAGGACCATATTGAAAACATGGTGCAACTTCAGGGACCAAATATACGCGACTTCCTTTTTTCCTCGCCTTGATTTGGTAATTTCTACGCCGTCTTGACCTTCTCGGAGAGTACACCGCTCGGCTCGGTCAGCAACATTCCCCGAACTAGTCGGCCATGGACGCGGGGGATGATGGAGCGGGATCATCGCCCTCTCTCGAACTGGACGAACTCGTTCCTCCCCGCCTCGAAGACGCGGGCCTCGAAGACTGCGCGCTGCCCCTCGAATCCATCCAGCTAGCGTTCCTCAAAGCCGCCGCCGCCGCCGCCGCCGCCGCCGACGCATCGGACGCTCTCGAATGCGAAGATGTCGTGGCTGGGGATCTGTCCGAGCCTGACGAACCCGCGGATGACGTGGCGGGTCCTTGTTCGAGAGGTGATGGGGGAGGCAAGGCGGAGGCGAGCAGCACGGACGAGGTGGAGGATCCGACGGTGCGGGAAATGCAGAAATTGGAGATTGGGAAGAGCGGGACGGATTTGAAATCTTAGCGACGAGGCGGAATGGGCTTTGTCGGGGTGCTGCATTGGTAGAGTTGCGGAGCTTGTTCATCTCGATGGAGCATTTTGTATCGTTCTTGTAAGTTCGAAAAGTTCTGCCCCCCGTGTTGTTGTGCTTGTCCCGTTCTTTTTTCCCTTCCTGTGTATCTGGTGATGATAACCGGTGATCAATCCGTTGGGTCGATTCAATTTACATGTTCGGTAGAGAAAGGAGGCGTGACGATGATTGGTAATGGATTTCGAAATGGTAATTGGTGATCAAGGCATTACTTTATACTTGATAGTACTACCATTACGTCTTCATGTAATTGAATTAGCAGGTGCTTGCTATTTTAAACTCAGAAATGGAATTCTAGCGTTGAGATTAATAGTTTAGTGATTCATTTGTGCAATCTGATACATTCATGTCGATGAATGCTTCGAGCAGCTTCTTGATTTGTACTTGAGATTTGAGGATAGAGGCTTGGGGCTTGGTTACCCAACTTGAGTATTTCAGCATGTAAGAATGGATGTTACTGTTTTCTGTTGTTCTGCAAGAAGTCAGTAGGACAGGGGGTGAGGTTGGTTCAGAAGGGTAACGGCGTAAAACATCTTATGAAAATGCACGAAAGACGAATTCTGCGGTTATTGGTTTGACATGATAATAATACAGAATCTTTCTCTTATCTTGGCTGCTTTTGGAGCTAGGACAGCATCAACAAACCCAAAGGGTGTATGGTGTGGATTTTCCCTTGATTTTGATGTTTTGGATGCATTATATTCATATCATTGTAATGAACTCCAGCTAGAAGCAAACGAGTCTTTCTATCAGTACCATTAGCTGTCAATTTTTTTCAATTTCTTCCATCTTGTAGATAAGATTCAACCCATGAACTAACTTTCCACATGGTCATGTAGACCCACGCTACTCTCATTTGACAAGGGAACTTAAAAAGGGACATGCATGATGCGCAGTCCAAAATCTGTTGCAACCACAATTATTCTACAGCCAAATTTGATACTTTTTTTAGTTTATCTTGATTAAAGTAATATGTATTACCTCAGTCCACACATCACCGAGAAAAAGAAAGCCTAGGGTCGATCTGTCAAAGAGATTGACTCTTAGACATGTTACTGAATGTGCTTTTGTCTCCTTGTCAAGATTATCTGGAGCATCATTTTAAGGGGGAAAAACAAAAAAAAGGAAATGGTCATTTTGGGTAGCTTGGTTGTTTTGATACTTAAAACTATTTCTTGGGTGGAAACATGGCAACAGTACATGTTTGCATTAACAAATGGGCCATGGGGTCGGTGAAACGTTTTTCAGCCTTCACAGTTCTTGTGGAGGTCTTCAAATTGTCCTACAGCTAGTTAATTGGCTGTATTACTTGACTGATGCAGGGGCTGTTTCGTTCAACAGGAAATAAACGACTTTGTAACTGCTACATGCTTAAGGCGTGATTGATGGCAGGCTTGATGTTTCCAAAGTGCCAAGTTGCTCTTGGATTTGTAATATTGGTCTGGAAGGTTCCTCTACATGCCTAAAGAAGTTTTCTTGTCGAAAGACGAACTCTTTTCTGTTTTCCCTCGAGAATGCTTATATAGTGATCCTTTTTGGTTCTTCTTCTTCATCATCACCATCATGATCATCACCATCATCATCGCCAACGCTTTTATTATTGTTATTATTATTATTTCTCGTTATGAACGTTGCTTAAAGCGTATTGGGAGGAGTTCCAATTGGGATAATTGTTCAATGTTCCTCTGGTTATGTATCTAATTCACTTGCATCTAGTTCCGTTAGGCCAAGTTCAGGCATCAACCTTGGATACTAGCCGTAAAAGCTTTACTGCATAAAGTTTCTTTTGTGGACCAATGAGACTGCCGATGATCATTTGAAATAGATGACAATACTGGAGCAAGTAAAATTGGTGACAGTACCTTTAATTAAATAATCCGCAATTTCCTTTGTTCGAATAACAAAGCATCTGTAGTCACATTTGTAGAACACTCAATGAGAACTTTGGGGTTAAGTAGACTTCTCCCATTGGAAAAGGATTTGGGATGGAGTGGTATGAGGTAAATAAACTCTTGGAGTACTTTTTTGGCTTGGTACCTACCTTTTTTTAATTGTGTGGCAATTTGTACTCTCTATTTTGGCTGAATTGACAATATCGGAACAAGAGAACGATGAAGGAGAGCAGACTTCTAACTTTTTGTAGTTCTTGAAAACTGGTTTAAACCTGTGCAACAGTGGTGGAAGTGCTTGTGCTGATCAATATTGTAAATGCTTTATCTTATATATGAGTGCTGTTTCGGTTCTTTTGCACCATTTGTTATGAGGATGACCCCCTAGGTGCTGTATCGTGTATCTTTCTTCACCCATCAGGAAAGAACTGCAGGGAAGATTTTTTCTTCACCGCGTTGGTCCAATCAAGATGTTGAAGGTCCAAAATGGAGGTTGAAATGTACTTCCCACTTTTCTTGTTTTGGCCTTTTCCTTTTTCATGCTAGAAACTGGCATCTGGAATGACACACTGTCATCTTGCTGCAGCCATTGCTGGTTGAATGGGGTAATCTATTTTCTATCTAGATTCTTTTGGTACTGTTAATATAAATGTGAAGATAAGTTACTCTTCACACATCAGAATTGCTGAGCCTAAATTGCCTTTTTACCCTTTAAAGAACGAGCGAACGACTGTTTAATGCCTTCTTATGTTTATGGTGTTTTCTTTAGGCCCAGCGTGAGGGTCTCATGTTATCAAGTCTCTGTACTTTTAGCAGGTCATCATACATTGTACAAAGCTGCGACTTGACATAGCAGGATAATAATTGATAACCTCTTTCGAACCAGGCCAGTGATACGTACGTGCGTCTTTTCATGCTTGGTAGGAAATGCACAGGACAATTTCACATGGTCCTCGTCTTCTAAGGGACGAGACAGCTTTGTTTTTTGGGTCGAAAAGGACGAGACAGCTTATTCACGTACGTTTGAGATGATCCTAGGAGATCTTTTCTGCGTTAACTAAGCTTTAGGTTCACACACTTAGCCAGCTAGGCATGATGTATGATGTCATCCCCCTTCTAATGGGTCAATCCCTTTAGCTGGAAGTGTGCAACGTCTACATGATGAGAGTTGGTGAGGAATCAAGCGATAGCCACAATGAAGTCTTTTCCAAACAAGCGACTCTGCTATTTGGACATTGGATGCTCTTACACCGTAACACTCAGTATTTTGCTCCAAGAAGTTGAATTTGTGGCTTCCTTCCGAAGAAACCTATGATTCATGAAGTTGTTTTCTGTGAATAATTTTTGCATTCAGGAACACCGACAAAGTGCTCTAGTACCTCGCGTTTGAAGCGCCGCGAGGAGCACATGGGGATATTTGTCCGAATGGAGGATTAATTACGCGCCTCGTCGGACTGTACTCACAATCTGAGGCAACGTGATTTCACAGCTAAGACACTTTCATCTGATGCACGAGGTCAAATTTGTATGGTGGCTTAAAACCTGCATTGCACGACAAAATAACCTAGATGGGTTGACAATTGGGATTGGGTGGTTCAATCAGATCATCGAACTTCCGCTCGACCTGGACTTTGATCTATTTGCTGACATTAAAGTACCTACTACACTATAATCTCATATTTTATCAGTGCATATAGATCCTGGCTCGATGTTATGTGCATGATCCAAACACTGTCAATTATCGGTTCCTGCTGCTTTAGCTGGTAGTTAGTGAGAGATGCAGAGACCAACATTTGTGCTATTTTATGCACTTACAGGACCCTGTTTCTTCAATAATCTCTCCCTCACCTGCATCATTGCGCGCTTATTTCATTTATTCATTTGACGAGGGAGCTCGCTTTATACAAGTAAACCATTGAGGCATGAAATACCTAGTCAATCGTATAGATAAGGTGATACGTGAACGGAGACACTAGAGAATAGTCCAAACATGATGCCGTTTGCACTTGGTGATGCTGACAACCAAACTACGTATCACTGTTGAATGACCGAACCGATCGATCTGGTTGCATGTGGGTTCATTTGCTCTTGGTGCTGTCGAAACAACATTCTAATTCACATCTAACGCCTCGAAGTGCCCAATGCTGCTTAAAAGCTTGATCCTCTTCAGAGACTCCACAACCACATAAAAAAATTTCAGCAGGGTCCGATTGCTGATTGTCTATTTCATGCTGGCGATGTCTGTACCGTTCTGCATATCATGCATGTGCACCTCTCCAGCTAACAGTCAAGATCTCAAACCCATGGCCCATATCGATCACTTCTCCTCGTAGACCGAATCCGATTGATCTCGTGATCGAATCTGATTTAGCTGATTAAAGAACTTGGGATTTGTACATGCCCCTCATTTAAGAAATATGCACATCTTCTTGGGTAAGCAATCTGAACGCAGACGGTCAGTTGTGTCACATTCAGGCCAAACTCAAGTCTAAATACGATTATCAACAACTGCAAGAAAGGGAATGCTTACAACTCCAGTCAAAACCAGTTGTCCCATTTGAAGTCTAAGCAGTTTTTAAGTAATTGATGTGAGCTGATGTGGCTATGTGTTAGAGGAAAGGGCCACACTGAAGGTCACGGGTGCATCTGAAGTTTAACACAAAGATAAGCTAATTATCGCAATTATTAAAAGAATGTTTCTTCTTTTAAGAGAGAATCTTGACCTGCTCCATTGATGGTCCCCCTAAAATTGCCAGTAATGGCTCTTCCTGTTAAGATACGCAAGTAATCAACTTCAACTCAACCTTCGGGACTGGAGTGAAAAGGAATCACTTCCGCGAATGGGAAAGAAGCTCTAGCTTTCAGCAGCAGGGTGCGAAAGCTTGCATGCACAGTAGTTCGCAGTGTCTCCTCCCACATGATTCATGAACCCCCCATGGATTATGCGCCGTAGAGCCCACAAAAGCAGCAGTGTATGTGAAAATATGGGTGAACTGATGAGACAAGAAAGAAACAAGTTCGAAGTTTCCAGGAACATGTGTCTGAACTGTGAAGGCTGAAATGCACTGGCGAGATGACAGTAGATCATGTCTCAGTGCCACGCGATTCACGAACCCCTTGGGTTGCGAGCCGAATAACCCATCAAAGCAGCCTATAATCGTGGGATTTGTTCCCATGTGAAGACTGGTTTTGTGCACGTGAAAGGGTTTGGTGGATCCAGGCTCCGCATGTATGCTAATGCTTGGCTGAACCGCGATCCGAGACTTTAGTATTCGCGATTTGGTGGCCCCCGTGCTAATCAATGCCAAAAGCTTAACCAGTACGGGCTTGTTGCTGATGATTCTTCTGAAGCTCAACCAACCCTCTATTTTCTTATTATCTTGGAGGTCAATATTGGAGGGCCTTGGCATTGGGGATTGGAGTGCAAGAAACCACACAGCGTGTTGAATCAATGTGTGTTTTGGAGGAGTAAGAGTGCACCCCTTACTGATGTTTTGGTAAAATGCAAATGTTGACACGCAAATGAGGCGCCGATGCATTGTCTTGGTCTCAAGGCTGCTTCTTGCTCGAAAGTGGAAGGGGAAGTTTGGCCACGTCTTTGTTTTTTTTTTTCTTTCGATTAGGGTTAACATCCAGTGAGTTTGTGTGTTTTGGTTGTAGCATATGGCATTCGGCAATCTATGAGGACCATTTAAGCAGATGTGGTCCTCACATTTAAGTTGATTGTCTTCCCGTGATGATTGTTGAATGTTTCTTGCAATTGTGAAACAAGCTATAAATTTTTAAAAAAAAGTGGGAAATTGATATCCAAAAAGTTCAATCCAAAAGTCTAAACTAATAAATAGAGGAAAACCATATATTTGTAAAGTTGGTAGCACATGACTCTAGTACCATATATGAATGTCCAAGTCAAAACTTCTAAAGAGGAACCACTTGTATATAAAGAGCATGTAAATTTCATTAACAAGCGATGTGAGATGTTTTGGCACCTACTCATCATATTTTACAAAGGACATTTAATATCCTGGACAATGTCGAAAGGGCATCTAACTATTAAGTTATGCAAAATTAGCTTGCGAGTTTTCATTTATCACGGCAACTTTGGGCCAACTGTTCTTCATTTATGCACATTTCTTTGTTCGTGAGTGCATTATATATTACCAAAGGTCGCGCTCGTGCACGTGCCTTAGATTTTGGTATAATGTGCGTGTATGTAACATCTAATGTCAACCAGAGTTGCGCAAGAAATAGTATTACCACAAGTCTTATCAACATGGTTCGACCATTTCTATCAGACGCTTCTTGGTGTCTTGTTCTTTCGAAAAGCCTCCGCTCGACAATCATCTAGATTGGATCTTGTGAGTGAACAACCAAACCCCTTAATTTGAGAGATGGAGAACTAGACATAAGAGTGGTTCACGCTATCGTTTACCTAAACGTCTGCAACAGAGGGGAAAAGTCAGTCCAAAGGAAAAAAAAGGGGAAGAAGTTGAAAACCCCAGTGATTTGCATGACTCAGATCCGTTTCATCCTTTGACCAAAAAAAAAAAGAAAAAAGATCCGTTTCATCCAATCCGGTGGGCGGGTTTCCATGTGGGTTCCGAGTATAAACTTGGAATAAACTAGGAGACCGATGAACGATAGGTAGAGGTAGAGCTAGCGAGAGAGAGGGAGAGTGTGTGGAGAGACTCGCGTGGTCCTTCCAAGATTAAATGACGTGCGAGATCATCCCTGTCACCTCCCGCAGTGGCCTCGTGCATATATGCTAGTCTCTTCTTTGTCATGGCTGGAGCGAAACACGCCTTGAAAAGATTTTCACAAGATCTTATATCCACTTTTCTCAAGAGAGTGCAAGTGGGTCTTCTTTGGAGCTTGAGGTCTCGGTTTCTTTGCTAGCATTCTCAGTGACCAGTTTCTCTCTTCCTTGTTTTTGTGTGTCCTGCACAAACTGGGTGGACAAGGTGGGGGGGTTTTGGTGGGTTTTAGTCTGTTCATGATGGAAGAGAGCTGTAGAAAAGTGGTGGGCTAGGCTCAAGTTTGCACTTTGTGATTGTTCCACAGATTGTTTTCTTGATTCTCGTTTTCTGAATTCCTTTTGGGTAGTTGGTTTTCGGGATCAAATTACAGAGAATTTTGGGATTCGTTTGTAGAATTTTGAAATTTTAGTGGGAGTCTGATGGCTGGGACTGGAAAAGAATGGTGGGGTTGGAGATGTTTTGCAATGATAGTGATTATATCTCTTGTTGGAGCTTCAGTCTTTGTTTCAGCAAGGGAAGATGGGAGAAAAGAAGGTCCAAGTAGCACAAATGGTGACTCTATAATGGATCTCCCCAAGGCTGTATTCAATTTCTTATGGCAAAAGGGAAAATTGGGTTATACGCGTGTTTGGCCGGTAAGGCAATTCTTCCTTACTTATTTTGGATTGGATTTGGTTGTTTCGTTGTTAGGATCGTGGAAAAATGCGGGAAGTAAAGGGAAAATACTGGAAAAGGATATTTTGAAATGCTCAGCTTTAGCTGAAAGCTCATTCAGTGAGATTAGTACATTTTGGGATGGATCTTATGGTCGATTTAATTGGTTGACTTTTTCTTTTGCTCCAATCGAGTTAGCCAGGAATTTATGTTGATATCCCGAAGGAAACCATAGCCGATAGGTTCTTTATTCTTGTTCTGTTTTTTCTGATTCGGAAAGAAAAGGGAGTACTCAAAGAAGAGTTAAAAGTGCATCAGGCAGCAATATGCGAACTTTGTTGAGTTTTATTTTTAATCAGTTAAGATCATGGATTCCTAAATTAAAGCCATTCGTGGATTGAAAATCTCCCTAAATTATTACACTGTATCCTCAGGAAATGGAATTCGGCTGGAAAATTGTGGTTGGATCGATAATTGGATTTTTTGGAGCAGCGTTTGGGAGTGTGGGAGGAGTTGGGGGTGGTGGCATTTTTGTTCCCATGCTCAATTTGATCATTGGTTTCGATGCCAAGTCTTCAACTGCTATATCAAAATGTAAGACATCGATGAAGTACCATCTGGGACAAATTCTTTGAGCATGAGTTTCTTAATTTTTGCCGAATGTGTCTGACCATGCAACAGGGTCAATAGTCTGTACGATTCAAAAAACCATCCAGGATTGTACTTGCACCAAAAATTTTTGTTTTTCTGGCCAAGCTCTTTCTGAGATTTTTCTCGTTCATTTTAAATCCTAATATTACATTTTGGAAATGTACCGGTCTGAGTTGTTTCATCAGATTGGTCAATGCATTTTAGCTTCATTCCACAAGGCGTATGAATGGATCACAACTCAATGGTGTTGGTTGGATAGACATGTCCAGATGATTTACTTGTTATGTATGTTGTCGAAGTGTGAAAATAAAAGAAACGAGTGGTATGGATACACCTCAGGATGTGTTCTGTTTAATTTAATAGCTCAAACTAATACTATTGTTTGTGTTGGATCAGGTATGATTATGGGTGCAGCAGCATCTACTGTTTACTACAACCTTAAGTTGAGGCATCCCACACTTGACATGCCAGTCATTGACTATGACTTGTCACTTCTTTTCCAGCCTATGTTGGTGCTTGGAATCAGTATCGGAGTCGCCTTCAATGTCATATTTGCTGACTGGATGATCACAGTTTTGTTAATCATTCTTTTCTTAGGTAGTGCTCATCTCAAGTTAAACCTTTTATAGAAATTCTCTTCTAGGGCGAGTATTGTAATTGACAATATTTATATGCAGGCACCTCAACAAAAGCATTTTTGAAAGGTGTCGAAACTTGGAAAAAAGAAACAATACTCAAGAAGGTGATCTATATCCCATCATCTTTATCCTTAACCAGTTTATCTGAGTAGTTCGATACTACTTATTCGTTCTTATCCAACTAATCATTGGTTATCTTTGATTTTCAGGAGGCTGCTAGACGACTGGAAACAAACGGTGAGTTGATCTATCATCCTATTTTAATCTCCATCTCTCATTTGTTGGAACATTTCACTTATGAAACAAAATCAAAACTTTAAAGGTGAAAAAAATGACCCACTGGCATTTTCTGGTTCATACCATTCTTGTACGTGATACATTAAAACCTGAAATGCTGTCGATCTGTTTTTCAATAGGGGATGGAGCTGAGGAAGCGGAGTACAGACCTCTACCGGGAGAGCCAAATAGTGGCAATGAGACAGAAAGCAAGGAAACCAAAAGAACTGAGGTAAGAAAACTCAGATCATTATTTCTCATAGTTAATTGGTGTAGAACTGAATATTATTGCAATCCAGGTTCCTGTTCTGGAGAATGTCCACTGGAAGGATCTGGGGCTTCTTGTTATTGTCTGGGTTGCCATACTTGCATTGGAAATCGGAAAGGTTCCAAATTTAATCTGATTTAGTTGTCAACTTTATTCTGTGTTTTGCACTTAAGACCACAACTGATGCGGTATTTCTATGTTGGGAACAGAATTACACAACCACCTGTTCAGCTCTATACTGGGTTTTAAATCTTCTGCAGGTAAGTAGTAAACAGGTGCAAATTTTTAGGTTTTCCTTCCAGATGAGATTTCTTAACAAAGTCAATAATTTGCTGTTCAGATACCCGTCGCTGTTGGAGTTTCTGGGTATGAGGCTTATAGCTTGTACACAGGGCGGAGAGTGATAGCTTCCAGGGGCGAAGGGGGTGCTGACTGGAAAATACACCAGCTAGTCATGTATTGCGGCTTTGGCATAGCAGCGGGTATGGTTGGTGGATTGCTTGGTCTCGGTGGAGGATTCATTTTGGGCCCACTTTTTCTTGAGCTGGGAATCCCTCCTCAGGTCACTAGTTCTTTCCTTATCATCAAACATGTACAAGATGTAGTATTTTGGTCCCATAGAGAATTATTTAATCTGATTAAAATTCTTCTGATATTCGTGAAAGATGAGTGATTCTTGAGCAAAATGTTCCACTTTGAGAAGCAAGCTAGTTGAGAGACATCTGAGAGAAATGCAAGAGAATTTTCTTGCTTCTTATAGATTACTAGTCGTTTCATGCTATCTTGTGTTTTTATGAAGTCTCGATTTAAATTTCTTCCATTTGTCCTGCAGGTCTCGAGCGCCACAGCCACTTTTGCCATGACATTTTCCTCGTCCATGTCTGTTGTAGAATATTACCTCCTAAAACGTTTTCCAGTTCCCTATGGTATGGCTAGTTTCAAACGCTGTTCTACTTTCAAGGGCAACATTACGAATTGTATACTACATCCTGTGAGATCTGCTCATTGAAATTTCAATATGCTAATCTTTGGTTTGTTCTTTGCAGCTCTCTACTTTGTGGCGGTGGCAACAGTTGCTGCCCTCACGGCCCAACCCATAGTCAGAAGGATAATAGCCATTCTAGGGCGAGCATCTTTGATTATTTTCATCCTCGCCTTCACAATTTTCGTGAGTGCGATATCACTAGGTATGTACCTCGCATTAGACACTGCAAATTGTTTAACTTGAATTCTGTTCTGATTTTGAGATTACTAGGATAAATGTCCACATTCCATCTGCAAATTTAATCCAGTGTTTCTGTTACGAATCGTTCCTCTTTATTTTGACAGGTGGGGTTGGTATAGTGAAAATGATTGAGGAAATAGAGAATCAGGACTACATGGGATTCGACGACTTGTGCTCGGCGGATTCTTGATACGACTATTACTTTTTTTGCTCTCCTCCTTCAGTATTCTACCGGTTCTTCTCTGAACTGAAAACTTATTGTCATGTTATTTGCAATAAATTTTGGTAATTCAGGACAATTACATTGAGTGCCTTTCTAGTTGACAGTCGAAGTTGCTTTCCATTGACCTGCGTTAGCTAAGTCTCAAGCAAAGCCACTGCGGTTTTACGGCTAAGATTACTCTGTGCTGGCCATAACTACACTAATATTTTTATTAGGCGGTTGATTGAGTCTGACATGATTGGTGACATATATGGCGTACTGAATAGATCTTCTCCCAGGATGGCTCTTTGTACATCTGATCGTACAATTTTGTGTCAATCACCATCAGTTTACGTGGAATCAGTTAAACTAAAATGACAAGTTTTAGGTGAGATTGATACCTGAGCCATCTCCATTTTCCATGATTAGGTGTGACAAGACATGTCTAGTTAAAAAATCATTCCTAGTACTTATAAGGAAAAATGATACAAATGACCATTGAATTTTGGCTCAATGTGCAATGTAATTCATAGACTTCTAATTGTTCAGTGTGGTCGCTGAACTTTATTTCAATGTGCAATGTCATCCCTGAACTTTTAATTTGTTCAGTTTGATCCTTGAACTTTAGGTACCTGTTCAATTTGATATTTGGATTATATAAAAATATTCAAAGTTATTCCTGAACTTGAATAATGAAAGAATAACATTAGATATTTTCATATAATTTATAGACTAGATTGAACATATACCAAAAGTTCAGAGATCACATTGAACAAATAAATAATTTAGAAACAACATTGCACGTTGGGCCAAAGTTCATGGACCATTTGTGTAATTATGCCTACTTATTATTACAAGCGCGAAGCCACCATTGACAATGACCATTAGGCTAGTTTCAAAGTTTAAAAAAAATCGATTTGACCTATTCTATTAAAATGAAAAAGACATGAAAAGTACGGTAAGCCAAACCACCTGATTGAACTGCAGTTGCAATTCAGTTTTGAAATACCGGTTAAATGAGATAAGGAGCAAATCCTCAAAACAAGAAATTAGCAACTATTTCTTGCACGGTATTTGGTTCTATAGAGAAAATGAGCACGTTCATATAGGGGTGAGCAACATGGATCGACCGAACCAAGAACCGACCACATCGACTGGTTCTAGGCAGTTCCTGAGAGTATTGGTTCGGTTCCTAATTCCATAAAATTGGAACCGGTGATTTTCAGTCCGGTCCCCGTTTTCTGGGGGAACCAGACCGATGTCCCAATGGACCAGGATAAGTATCAGTGAGAAAGAGGAGGCGGCCCAAGAGTAAAAACCATCCTAATTACAAGGAACTAGATGATGACAATAAAGAATATTCTGAAGCAAGTTCAGATGAGGGAAATCGGTATTCTACACGTGAAGAGGAGGGAGAGATTGAGGAGTTCGAGGTCACCGACAGTGGTGCTCCTGGAACACTGCCAATCAACAAAGCCCAGTCTGATGAAGATGTTTCGTCTGAAGAAGGTGACGAGTATCCATGGACCTCAGAGAGAACTAGGAACAATCATTTGCCCGGTTCCATTGGTCCGCCCGGGAACCGGACCGACGGTCAGGCCCGGTCCCAATACCAAGCGGTCCGGTCCCCAGTTCCAAAAATCGGGAACCGGTCCTTACCGTGAACCGATCACCCCTACGTTCATGTTTTACAAAAGGTCTGACCCACATGTGTCAGCTCTTCTAGATCTCATATAGAAGAGACTTGATGCCTTCTTTGGGTGGATCCATTTTGATTCCGTTCCAAGGCACAACTCAAATGCCTAATAAAGATTCGGTATTACAGAGACTTTCTGGTAAAATATGTAATTCACTGGTCATGACATTTGATTTCTTTCAGACAAATTCTTGTCAAAGACAATCAGAGGACCAAGAATCCTTGCATCTGTGTCGGTGTAAAGTACTATGACCTATGCATTTTTACTGCAACAAGGCACTCTATCCATTGGTTGTACACAGTTAAATGATAAAACGAATGCTAAAATAGTCTTCTTTTCGAAGAAAAGAAAAGATCAGAACCATTCAAGCATCCTCCATTTCTAATTTCTATACTTTCATCACCACATATATTACAATTCATCTTTAGGGCCGTCATTGCTGGATTTCAAATGTTTCGAGATGACCTTCGCCATGTTTTTCAAGCTTGATTTTGCAGAAACCTTTATCTGCAAAAACAGTATATCATGCATCAGATGACTTGAAGCGGCAAAACTAATTAATAAACTTTTCGGGGGACATATATTACCGGATTGGCTTTGTCACTTGCAGGGTAAAATAGGAGCATCGGATAGTCAACCACCTGCGGAGATAAATATACTCTAAATACGCAACTTGCCAAGAAAGAGTGGTAGCTCATTAAGTTATAATATCACTAATGTTAAGTAACACCCCACATTTTTACGAAAGTTCGAACTCTGTTTGCTTTATAAGGACAAGCTGCTTTTAAGAATCACCGTTCGTCTATCATGACATCAGCCATCTCATCTGGCAGCCAAAATGTTTTTGATTCCAAGCATGATTTTATACACACACTTCATCAATAACTCGATATGTAAATTTCCAATGTACTTGGAAAATTCACTATCTTCGATGTATTCTTCGAGAGACTAGTAAATTCTACACATCTTGACAAGAACATGTTAACTACCTGTAATTTTGGATGTTCATTTGCAGAAGCATCGATCCTCGCAAAAACCAAATTATTCAAATCTTTGAAGTGCTTAGCTAACTTCTCTACTTGCTTGCTTGTAGTCTCACAGTTGATGCACCAAGGCGTGTGAACCTGTGAAAGGAGATTTTTACAGCAATGCTTAGAGTTGTTTGCCTTGGCTGTTTCATACTGGTCATTAAAGAAGAATAATAATTGACTGGATCATACTTTGAAATCGCACAAGTGACTTTCATAAACTGTATACAACTAAAAAGCAGGTGTTGGGACTTGCAGTTATCATATGATATGTGCTTCTTGCACAGCCAGATCATCTTTAGATAAGCTAACCAAATGAGTGAAGTAAACTAAGCTATGAAAAATGAAGAACACGTACCTCAAGAAAGACATTCTTGGGACTGTTCAAAACTATGTCATCAAATGTCTTTCCCACAACGACCTGGATGCTTGCCTCATTCAGCTATTAGCAAAATTGAAAGCATGAATTAAATACCATAAGTCATTAGAAAAAACAGATGCATAAGCACAATGTCCAGTAAGCTGATGGCGGGCAAACAAATTAACCTTTAGTACTTCTATAACAAAATGTTAGACTGATTAATATACATAAAACATACAGACAGAGATATTTACTTTTCACGACTCTTGCATGATTGTTGCTGCATTTACGCATGATCATCAAAGCAGGACATTACAAAAGTAGCATAATAAAAACCTTGAAACAACGTGGAGGAAGAGAAGAACTGCTAAGTTGGCAGCTGATTGTGTTATTCGGCATAACCTAGTTTCAGCTGGTTTTGCATTCGAAGAAAATTGCGGTAGTCTAATTGATACATGCAATTGCAAATGGCATATGCAACCTTTATGCTACCAGGCCCCAAGGCTATTATAGACATCAAGTAGATAAGAGCCTAGTGCAAATGACATTAGGGGCTACTGATGCATGGACAGACTTTCCCATAGCTTCTTGGTCATACTAAATAAGCATACTCACGTTGTCTGGTACTGACTGAGACTTGAAGTAAGGAGATAGTGAACCCTGGAGAAATTTTGAGCTGAAATCCTATGAAAGCAAATTCAGATAAACTTCTTAGTCCAGTAGGTAAGGAACATTTTCCAAGAGAAAAACCACAAGAAACAAGGAGGTTACTTCTATATTGGCTGGTGTTGGATCTGTCTCTAACAAATACTTGGAGCTGATTTTGTTATCAAAAGCAGCCACCTAGTTAGGCATGCCACAAGAAAACAAAATTCCATTAATTTGTCGATCCATAACAAAGGTCCGTAGGATTGACCGTGAAGTAATAAGAAACTAACCACGGTGTCGTCTGTGTCTTCAAGTCCATAAAGAGTTAAGAAGGGCTTTGCTAGGTTTTCTTCTGCAATGTCGATATAGATGAACATTATCTATATCCCAAAATGGAGTTAGAAAACCATTGCCACCAAGGGAAAAGGTTTAATTACAGTAAATTATGGTCACTCAAGAGTAAGCTTGGCGATCCATGTCAATATGTCATAATCATGCTTGTGATTCGTATCCATCCATATTAGCATCAAAACCTTGTACCTTTATTTAACAATTCAAATTGTTGGCTTAAGTTGGAAACATGTTAACTTGAATCGGACTAAGTGTTAAGTGTATTGCGTCATGTCAAATGAGCTTTTCTCTTTGTATTGGTGCTTTGCCTCATGTCATGCTGTCAAATGAGTCATGAGAATTCGTATAAGTCGAATTGTGTACCTTTGACTTGAATTTCCTTGCCACATCTTGAAGAGGCTCATGAAGATCCTTGAAGTCTTCAGCCTTAGCAAACACAAAAAGCTGGAAAAGGGATACATGTCACTACATGTCACTGATGAGTCAATAGAGAAATTCTCCGTGGTTATTTTCTCATGCCAAGTGCAGAGCTTAAGAGCTCAACTATGTCAAGATATCAATCAGTGCAGTTGATGCTGAATATTGTATTAAGAATTGATGAAATGAGATTTAACCAAGAACACAGGAAAAAAGAAAAAAACATGGCACACCAAACTCTCCAAGCTTTTAACTGACACATACTTCATATATGGAAATAAACCAAAGCACGATATAGAAAGTAAAGGTTAAGAAAAGGCAGATATTCAAGTCCTTGCAAAACAGCACCTGGAGTTTTATGGGACTGGAGTAAACTCTGATGGAATTAAGCTCAGTCAATTTGGTAACTAGTGGAAATTTGTTATGGTCCAAAAACTGCAGCAGCTTTTCCATTTCAAAGGCTCCTTCTGCATAATCAAATTTTAGTGTACTTGTGAGGTTTGGTTACAATTGTCAGATAAAAGGGGATCGAACTTTGTTTTACATGTATCCTTACCAAAAAAAAAAAACTTTGTTTTACATGTCCACTTTTTATTAACATTGCAGGCACCCCGGAGCAACCATACATGCATTGAGCCTTTATAGGAACACCACAGCAGATTGAGCATTCAGAACTCAACTGTAAAAGAAGTTGCTACCTACCATATCCAGAATATCTTTCTGGCTCACTTTTGACAATGCCCAGGAAAAAGCTAGAAGATTCAATGTCAGGGTAAAGAGCACGGGCAGCCTCAATGTTGCTAACTTCTACAAATTGGATTTCATTGTCAGCTGTTGCTGTTGTAACAAATTCTTCATAAGCAGGGCCCTGGAGGAGAGAATTTTATTCTGGGTAAGAGAAAGTAATGAGAAACAACGGGATCTTTAATTATCAAGCCCGTCAATTAGCAGACAGGAATGACATATAGTTGCAAAGCATCAACACATAAGAACACGTATTAACATATAGTTTTTCTGTTAAAGGTCAATCAAACTAAGGACTGGCGCACATGTAGCCAAACCAAGTAAACCGATGGGCTACAACTTTCAGTGTGGCATCCATGAAACCTCAAGTGGAGTCAAAAGTTAGATTAAGCAAAGTTCAAAGATCAGGTTGTAACTTGCAGCTTATAGTAGAAAGAATGATATTAGGAGAAAAAATGGACAAGCTACAGTCAACTTTACTTCCATATGTCAAACAGTCTGTTTCGTAAAGTAATCCGATCACTTCCATAAAAATGAAATTGTACCTCAAATTTCTCAAATACACCAATGGCAAACATATGATACTTCTTAAGAAACTCTTCTGCTTCAGTCACCGAGTTTATCCTAATAACAGGCACCCCAGTCTTTTTCCTTGCCCAGATCACTATTTCTTCCCTGTTTCATAATCAAATTCAGATAACTCAATACAATCGCCATACAACCATTGCACCAGTCAAGAGAAAGACTATATCGACGTAAATTCCAGCCATATAGCTTAGTAATTACGGCCAATTCCACCAACATGCTAACACAGCAAGGATAAAAAGGAAAAGAACAACATCAGTGAATAAGCTCGTCTGAATGCAAATCCTGTCACAAGTCAAACTGTATATGCAAACAAGTAAATACATAAACAAAGAGAAAGATCATGTAGTGGTGCACTTCCACTAAGGCGAACCTTCAATCAACTAGCAATAATTTATAACAAACAGAAACTACGTGGGGGCCTAAACTAATTTCCACAAAGAAAAATTCTTCCTTCTCTTCTTCCTTTTCATATCACAATGAGGCAATATCATGACTTACACCTGACTAAGTCTACCACTCTGGTCCGATCAAAGGCAGACCATCCGTGCGCACACGGTTTCACACACAGCTGCTTTACCATGTAGTACTAATGCCCGAACAACAGCTAAGAACGAACTGGAAAAACAACTTACGCAGTATATCCACCAGAGTAAACCTGAGAAGTCCCATTGACAAACAGAAGCAAAGTGGGAAAGCCTTTGATCTCGAGGCTCGAAGCCGCTTTAGAATATCTCTCGGCATCGAGCTTGGCCAACACGACCGAACTCCCCAACGCTTTCAATGTGTTTGCAGCCTCCGCAAACTGCGGCATCAATTCGGCACTCCTCGCGCACCACGGAGCATAGCCCAGAACAAGAACATACTCGTTTTGCTCGATCACTCTCTCCGTACTGTCGCTGTTGAGCTCGAGCACTATTCTCTGCGCTCTTGTCAATACCTCAGCACTATTCGCGTGCGTTTCTTGCTGTTGCTCCGCCTCCTCATCTAGAGCCAACAGTTCCTCAATCCCCTCCAAATCTTCATCGTCGAAGCTCTCTTTCTCCACGGGTTCGGAGATCGCGAGACCGAGCAACAGCCATATGGTCAGCGTCAGAAGGGCGAATCTCGAAATGGGTGTTCCCAAGCCCATTGCTTTTTCGCGAAATCGAGGCGAATTCAAGGAAAAAATGAGATCTTGACCCCGTTTTCAGGGTTTAAGATCTTGCAGATCAGTGTATAAGCAAGAAAGGAGGAGAGAGAGAGAGAGAGAGAGAAAGAGAGAGGCAACGGTGGGGAGAGATTGGAACGTGAAGGTTAGTGGCTTTCTCAAGAGCCTTTTGTGCTGAAACGACAATGTTCGATTGCGTTACTAGCGCAGGAAAAGGCGCGATTGGGGCGATTCTTTTATCAGAGAAAGCATGTCATGCTGTCAAAATCTTGTAATGGTGAATCACTTGCCATGTGAACAGGGAAGAATTTACGGTAGAACAGCGGTTCTTGCCTGATTAACCAGAACTTTAAGAAGTAATTTATCCCAGATTTTCTTATTTTGGATGAGGACAGCGTGTCTGTGATCGGATACTGCGCGAGATGTTAGCTTAATTACGAAAATTTGCTTGCTAAATATTGTGACTCGCCAATGAAACCTATGTATATCATCTAGTAATCAGTCCTTACTAAAATATATTATTGTGTAAGTAGTCACATTCCCAAAAAAGAAGTATTCCAGCGTCGTCAAAATATTGGAAACTCGAGCTCAGCGTTTTGGGTTTGGCGTTTGCGATCGGATTTTTAATTCGTGAGTTACAAACGTGAATGTCATTTCCGTTCATAATTAGTTTGCAAATGGTTTATGCCCATAATTAGTAAACTATTGATTAGGGACATGGTTCTAATCAGGTGGCTTTTACGGATTTTAGGGAGTAAGCACGGAAGAGCTTCATTACTTTCCACAGAAAAGAACACATGGTCGACACAGATATGCACATCTAAATGACCTCTCATGGCATTGCCAATATGCCATGTCTAATACCTTATAAGGAAAAATAACGACAGCAATTCTCAACATGAAGACGGTTTTCTTCCAAACACAAGCCATTGGACAATCGGCTACCGCGACTTGCAAGGCGAGAAATGCAGTGAGGAATGTCGCGGAATTCATAGATTCATAGAGGCAATAGGCATCAATTGTATGTGCAGGAATCTTTCTTGAATGTTATGGGCTTGGTACTGGTGGAGTCGATGGTGACCGGACAAGTGATTTGCTTTCGGTGCCTCGTCCTCACGAGCTTCCCGACCACGTCGCCTCGCGAATGGATCTCGAACTGTAGCGTGAAAGGGACGACTATACCTCCAGTTTGCAAAACCGTTAAGCTCGATCCGGCCCCATACAAAGGAACCTTGATCCCTTCCAAGTTCACCAGTACAGAGCGACGGCTCTTTCTCGGTTGATAATACTTCTTCAGCTGCAACCATTCACGTCAAGTCGCAGTTAGCTTAACTGGCACGATCAATCTAGATAGACTACAATTTGAGAATTTGGTACTTCTGCAGAAAGTCAATAATTCGATGGGTTGTAGCTGATCATTTCATTCAAGCAAAGTCTCCTTTCACGGTATTGCCATGGAAATTGTGTAGTTCTATTCACATAGATTGGTATCTTCCTTTGGCCTTTGCTTAATAGCTTACAAATCATAATATCAGCAAAAGTGTATTCAAGTTGAGTCAGTATAATTCACTGCTCAAAAGAAGTGGTTGACTCATCCTTGATTTTCAGAACTTGAGCTCAACTCAATTCGGTGCTCGACTGTCTACTCAACTTCAGCATGATTTTCCAAAACAAATCTGTAGAACTAAACTAAAGTAGGGCTCAAACTGAAAATCAAGCTTGAACTCCAGTTTCATATCGAAACAGATTTCAACAGTGATCTATTTCTATGTACTAAACATATGCTATCGAAAGATGACTACTCAATTAGGTTCCCTAATCATGGAAGTCAAAGTGTTACAAACCTCAAACTTGACTTAATCCTCGAGCTACTCAACCAAAACAAAAATTTTAATCAAGCACAAGTTCAACAAGTTAAGCTCAAGTAGTTCACGAGTATCCTGGCTCAACTCTAGAACCAATTTTGCTGATTAGTCTTGTGGTCTCGCATTTTTAAGAAATCTAAAGAAGCAGGTAATGGAGAAAGTTTTCACCTGTCCAGTGGCAACAGTGATCTCCAAGTACTCGAGATTGATAGGTGTAGAGCTCACATGGATGCCAAATAATGTCGCCGGATTGTAGACACTCATCCTCAGAGATCCATTGAAGGTCAGCATCTTGGTCGCAACCCCAGAGAAATCTGAACCCTCCCCAACATAGAAGTTACTCACCGCCAAGCTCTGCAAAGGAAGTAAAAGCCAGCATATTATCACTACTCCTCTTCCCCTAAATTATGCAGTCTGTGCAAACAGACCTTTCAATCATCAAGGAAGTGAATATCACTTTCCCTGTACTCGTCTTTTGGCAGCGCACATGTCTATCTGTTCTCAGATATCATGTGTGCCGCTACAAGTTATTTACTTTAGTTCTTTTTCTAAACAAAAGATGAGCCTACAAGTAAAAGTAGAAATTCTGGCATAACAACTGTGGACACAGAATTATTTAAAGATTGAACATTGAGTTAAAGGAGAATTCTGACTTAAAAAAGTAAATATTTTTTTTTCCTCGTCATGTCGACAATAGCAATGCAGACAAGAAGTATGTGGAAAAAAATAAAGAATGATGACCAGTTCCAGCTCTAAGGGATATGAACTATGAGTTGAAGACATCTATGGTAATACTTTATTGCTGGTATATATGTCAACTCGAATAACTCACAAGCAAGAAAGGAAGTGATATACCACCACCATAAGATAGATACCGTGAATCTTTAGCTTTGAGCTGTTGAAACTTTTTTCATTGTTCTGTACCTGAACTTTATGTTCAAAAGATCCCAAGGATTTTCCATTCCTCCCTCTTCAGCATTTCCCATAATATAAGGGCGAGGACAGGGGGACTGAATTGCAAAGGTTTTCCGTGTACTTCCCCGCATGGTAAAGTAAATCATATTACATAACTTTAGAGGTAAAGATGCAGATTTATCAGCACTTTTCTTTAACCAAAGAAATCGGCTGTGATTTCTTTAGAAGCTCTAGATGCTATTTATGCTTCACAAACAACCATCTCTTGCTTGGCAATGTGAACACCATGCATGTTTTTTGGGAAAGTGGAAGTAACTTGTCTAGGCAAAAAGCTTGCTCTCCAAATTGCTCATACTCGTGACCACATATGCAGGTTCCTTACCATAATCTTATTCATTTAGGATGGTGGCAGAGCAAAACTTCTGCTTCCACGCAGAAATATAGCCAGACATAAATCTGTGTCAAATTAAGAGACAAAAATTGAAACTATACCTTGACAGTAATCTCCGCTTTGTAAGGCCGACTCGCGCCCCAGATGATCAAACAAAACACGGTGAACAGAACCACGAAGCTGCACAGAGCGATTAAGGCCTGGAACCGTCTCATAAATGCCTTCTCCTCTAATTCATCATAAGACCCCTCTTCCAAAATCACATTACACTCAGGCCAACCCTTATCGTTCCTCTTCCTGCCTCCCTTCCTCCCCGAAGAGGACCTGAAAATCCCCGAGAAACGACTGTACGAAGAGTTCCTCGAGTGTCGCCCGAACGAGGGGTGGGAGGGGGACTCCATCGGGCTATGCGACATCGGAGTGGCGTGCATTGACGAGGACTTGTCCCCATCATGAGAGTCTCTCGAAGGGCTTTGGACATAGTACACAGGACGTTTCGGAGACCTCGAAGGTGAGGACGGTGCTAAACTTGTTATGTCAGACTCAGATTTTGTTGAGAGCATCATTTCCGTATTTTAATCTGGGCCTTTATCGGTATGTATGAATCCCCTCAGAAAACTGCAGAAAGACTCGAGATGGCCTTTATCTTTTCACCACTTTGCAGCATTCATAACAGCTGCAAGAGATCAAATTTCCAAATCCAGCTAAAGGTCAGTAGTCAATACACTCATCTTCTAGACTACTCACAAATCATTCGACCGAAAACGACTTGCATTCATGCCAAAGCGAGAACTTGAAAGGATTAGATCATAAAGGAGTGAAATTTCCCAGCTGGGTCGAATTCAAGAAGCGCACAAGTCGTTTCTTGAAGTGGCCTAAAGCACCAACATGGGCAAGCAACACACAAGAGGGGACAGATCTCCACAAAGGAACATACAAGAATAACGAGAAGATAGAGAGAGACAGACAGCAAATCATTACCACATGATTTAGCCAAATTCCTTCGAAGAACTTCCTGATGCATCACCCTCATGCTCCAAATTCCTCGAGCTAGAGAGGCTGATGATAATAAAGGACGAGAGGTGCAGAAGAGGACGTCAAGAGCAAATCATTCAACACACACCCTCTCTCTCTCTCTCTCTGTTTCTCGCTGAATGTGCCGTGCATGAGAGTTGGAAAGAGAGTTTTTTTCTCAACGGCCAAGGAACACAGAGTCCCACGTAACGCTTTGTAGAGAAAGCAGCAACAGTTGCGCAGCCTCGGCCTCAGGCCCGGGCTCCGAGCCTACGTCAGCGGTGTCGGCAGCGGACCAAGTGTCGGTAGCTACATAGTATGGAAAATGTTGAAATGGTGGTGTCCATAATTTGCCAATTTTTTTTATCATTTCATGTGATTTGGATATGCTTATGAAGTTTGGCACAGAAAAAAATCAATAGAAAACTGGCATTTCCGTGGCATTATTATACAGTCGAGATATTGATGGAGTACCTAAACTTGATTCTGGACCACCCCCTTGAATTAATTATTTGTCTTTGGCACCTTATTGGCACTTTGTGCAGGGAAAATCACCAAATTGGGTCCTAAACCTTTTGTACATATATCAATTCAATTTTGAACTTTTCAATTTTGCCAATCGAGTCCTAAACTATCGCGCGAAATTCTAATGTAGTTATTTCGGGCCAATTCTCGCCGGGAATCGCTGACGCGGTGGTCCAGTCATCGTTGACCGTCCTATGTGACACACCGCTGCGTCATCGATTTTTGGCGAAAATTGGTTGGAAACACTGCATTGAAATTCTGCACTAAGGTTTAAGACTCAATTGACAAAATTGAAAAGTTTAGGACATAATTGGAATTCACATAATAAGTTTAGGACTCATTGAATAATTTCCCCACTTTGTACATGACAATAATGAATATGCATGGATGTACAAGTTCCCTTAGCTTGCTATTCATGAAACATTAGGTCTTGATGAAGAATTTTTATTTAGTTATTGTGACAACCCGAAAGAAGAGTCTTGCCATAAGACATTTAGATAAGATTGTTTATCTCGTGGGATTACATCTGTTACAAATACCACAAAAAAAATATTTTGCATGGTGATTGTATATCCGTGGGGCTTCCAAAGTCGACGCAGCAACTTATTGCTTACTTATATATAAGTACAGGGCCCCCTTTCTAATTTGTTTTTCACAAGGTAGATGAGTTCGACAATAATGGGCGCTTCATTATTTTCTAGTATGGTCTTCATTTTCTTAACTACTGAAAATACTACAAGAATAGAATTCCAAGACTATGTGATTTGGTCTCTAGAACAAGCTATCTCTATCGCTATTGGTTTGGACAATCGGCAATTGCTTGAAACAGAAGTACCCATCTTTGTCAATGAACGAGACTTGTGTGAAAAAACACAGCTTTATACAGTCTGTACACTAATGAGATCCATCTACTAATCGATGAATAAATGACTCTTATCTCTTCTTAATTAGCCCTTCCTCCTCCATTTCAGCACATAATATATGCCATGGCCTCCCTTCTTGCTCGCCACATGGACAAAGGCCCTTTACTCCACTGAGATAGATATCACATAATGGAAATGAGAATATAGGGAGATAGATCCTAATGGAAGTGGGTTCACTTCTGGATCAAAACCCAAATGTGTGTGGGTGGTGACAGTGATGGAGAGGTGAGGACAAAGCTTGACAGCAAGAGGTGGACCACCCTCGCTCCGTCACTACACACACACTTTACCAGAAAGCTAGAGCCAATAATAGGCCACGGCCAGCCTCGAGGAACCGGAGCTTTTGTTTGGGTGTGGCCCCATGCATCATTGCTCATTAAGAAAGCGTTTGTTTTGTTAGAGTTGATTTTTGAGTGGGAGTTTGCCAAACGATGTCATGCATCGTCCAGCATTCTTGTGAACAGAACCCACACGTTGTCGTATAGACTACTTGATGCTGAAGAGACGGAGAGAGACAGAGAGAGACAGATTTTCTTTTGTCGTTGCCCTTGTTATGCCATCTAAAAGTCAAAGACTTGTTGTCATAGTTCGATGATTGTATTGGGTCCGTGTCAATTAACCCAGATTCAATTGACAACCAAGGACGTCGTTCATTTTATCGCCAGGTTAGCCTTCTACGAAGCGTCCCCAAGGAGAAAATAGAGGACTTCTGATGCTGCCGAGGTCGTGCTGACGATGACGTTCGTTTTCGCATGAAAAACCAGCTAAAGCGGTAAAGGCTCGTCTCTTTCTGTTTACATTCGACGAATTCTATTTTTCTTCGTGAGGAAATGAAATTAAGGAATTTTTTATCTTTAGACCACATGGAGTTGAGTCGTGACTCGTGAGGCACATTGAATTGGAGGGTCCTCAAGCCTGCAGTTTCTAACTAAAAATGGTCCATTGATACTCATGCGTACGGATCTACCATTGGACTCTAGCTTTCGATTAATTGTCACGGTATCAAGGTGCACTCATCAAGAGCCCTTTGTTTTAATAGCACTTATATATTGGAGATATGACCAAAGAAAACTGTTTCGACGCGATTAATTTTGGCAAATTCGGATTGACCATGAATTTTAAGCATCAAAAGATAGAATGGTTTTGCAGTGTCTGATGATTCATCAATTTCTTGATGACTATAGTCATGGTGGTTGTTAAGGATAAGAAGACCATTTAGGGTACGCATGAATACCATTCTGTGCCCGGGAACTATTTCTGAACAGAAATGATTTTTTTTTTATTCTGTGCCCGGAAACAATTTCTGAGTATTTGAAGGCGTTTGATAAACTGTCCAAAATTTCTATTCCTAGAGTAGAAAAGAACATAAATGCGTTTGGTAACTACACAAAATTTTTGTTCTCAAATAATATTTTAATAATATTTTGAATTGTTTAAATTTTTTTGTTCTTTTTACCATTTTCTTCTTTGGCCATGGCCGGTCGCCGGCGACCAGCGGCCGGCCACAGCCCAAGGCCAGCGAGGGCGTCACGGCGAGGAGGCCCTCGCCGGCCGCCGGCGAGGCGAGGGTCGGACCCTCGCCCAGATCCGGCGAGGCCGAGCCTCGCCGTCGCGACCCGAGGGCAAGGTCGACCTCGCCGTGGGTCGCGACGGCGAGGCTCGGCCTCGCCAGATCCGGGCGAGGCCGAGCCTCGCCGTCTCCGGGCGAGGCCGACCTTGCCGTCGCGACCGACTGGCGAGGCTCGGCCTCGCCGATCCGGGCGAGGAGACCTCGCCTCGCCGGCGGCCGGCGAGGGCCGTGACGCCTCGCCGGCCCGGGCATGGCCGTCCGCGGCTACCAGCCCAGGGAAGAACAACACAAAAATAAGAAAAGAAAAAAAAAGAAAAGAAAAAAACTCGATTCTCAAAATTGTCTTTGAGAAACAAGAAGCAACTTTTTTTACTTCTTGTTTCTCTTCCAAAATCGTTTCTCGGCACAAATTTTTGCAAAAAATGTGCCCGGGAACAAAAAATTTACCAAACGCATTTCTGTTCCCAAACTATTTCTGGAAACAAAAGAACAGAAATTTTTACTGTTTGGCACGTTGCCAAACGGGTCCTTAGTGTCAGCGCTCAAATGATCATTCCAACACAATTACAATGAATGAAAAGAGGCCCCTCCATGGTAGTAAAGGCCCGTTTGGTAACGTGCCAAACAGTGAAAATTTCTGTTCTTTTGTTCCCAGAAATAGTTTGGGAACAGAAATGCGTTTGTTAAACTTTTTGTTCCCGGGCCCATTTTTGCAAATATTTGTGCCGAAAAACAGTTTTGGAAGAGAAACAAGAAGTAAAAAAAAGTTGCTTCTTGTTTCTCGGCACAATTTTGAGAATCAGTTTTTTTTCTTCTTTTTCTTTTCTTCTTTTTGTGTTGCTCTTCTTGGGTTGTGGCCGGTCGCCGGCGTACGGCGGCCGGCGACCGGCCCTGGGCGAGGGTCCCCCCTGCCGGCGAGGGCGAGGGCTGGACCCTCGCTGCCTGGGCGAGGCGGCTCGCTGTCGGTCATGGCGAGGTCAGCCTCGGCCAGATCTGGCTAGGCCGAGCCTCGCCGTCGCGACCCACAGCAAGGCTCGGCCTCGCCCAGATCTGGCGAAACCGAGCCTCGCCGTTGCGACCCACGGCGAAGCCGACCTCGCCGTTGCGACCCACGGCGAAGCCGACCTCGCCGTGGGTCGCGACGGCCTCGCCCAGATCCGGCGAGGCCGAGCCTCGCCGTCGCGACCCACGGCGGCCGACCTCGCCGTGGGTTGCGACGGCGAGGCTCGGCCTCGCCAGATCCGGGAGAGGCCGAGCCTCGCGTGGGTCGCGACGGCGAGGTCGGCCTCGCTCGGATCCGGCGAGGCCGAGCCTTGCCGTCGCGACCCACGGTGAGGTCGGCCGCCGTGGGTCACGAGGGCGAGGCTCGGCCTCGCCCGATCCGGGCGAGGCCGACCTCGCCATGACCGACGGCGAGCCGCCTCTCCTAGGCGGCGAGGGTCCAGCCCTCGCCCTCGCCCTCGCCGACAGGGGGACCCTCGCCTCCGCCGGCGGCGGCGAGGGCCATGACGCCCTCGCTAAGGCCTCAGAGTACCGTGGCCGGTCGCGGCGACCGGCCATGGCCTGGGTAGAAAGAAAAAAAAAATTAAACAATTCAAAATATTATTAAAATATTATTAATAAAAAGAAATTTGTGTGTAGTTACCAAAAGCATTTCTGTTCTTTTCTATTCCAGGAATAGAAATTTTGGACAGTTTACCAAACGCCTTCAAATGCACAGAAATTGTTTCGGGGCACAGAATAAAAAAAAATCATTTCTGTTCAGAAATAGTTCCCGGGCACAAAATGGTTGTCATGCGCACCGTAAGTTTCCCAAAATTCATACATATGATTAATGATGTTGTGTTGTACACTCCCACAAATCCCATTAAATAACTGCAGTGGAGTGTCCAGTGCTCTGTAGCAGATCAATATGTCATGACAGTTCACATGGCCTTTGAGGGGGTACCTGATACGCTTTTGTACTAAACTCAGCAACAGGATCATCATAACGAAGTTCAGCTCCTCACAATCTTGAAGAATCCACCGGAAGGAAAGCCTTTGGCTAAAGAAAAGTTTGAAAGCGATAATCCTCACTACAAAAAAAATAGGATTTAGCCACGGAAATTAGCGACGAAAAATTTTTCGCTGCTAATTTCCGTGGCTAAATCCTATTTT